GTACGGGACATTCAATTGTCGTCTTTCCCGTCTTATCGGTGACGGTAATTGGCAGCTTGAGCCAGAATAACACAGAGCGCATCAGTAATCTCTTACAACCTTCTCCAAATATCGTTATCATTTTAGCACCGGATTTGTTTACATATTTGTCATTTTTGTTACTACACAACGAGTTCAGTAAATATGTCATGAATGCTAGCTGGGAGGTGTGGTTGTTTTTATTGTTCAATATTTACCAAAAAATCACAATCTACTTTTTTCTTTTTACCTACGTACTGCTAGCATGACGCGCTATTGCATGAGGGAATCATGAGCTGGTTCAGCAGCGTGGCCTTAAACACATTTTGTGTACGGCCTAGATGATGTGATATGTTCTAGTTACAGGTCTCGGTGGAACAGATTGTTCTTAGAACACTGGATGGCACAAACTAAACTTCGAAACTTATTCGCAAACACTTTACTAATGAAAGTACTTAGTTATCGGTTAAGATATTTGTAGAGTTATGAAGAAGCATGATAAACCGTCGCTGATGTCTCAATGTGCCCAAAAACCTACATCTGTGCTAAAGAAAATACGATATTATGCCTATGCGTACCTAGTATTGACCTTCATAGTAAAAAGATCGATCAGTTTTATAGATGGATACCATCTAAAAAGCAGTTACTCGTGAGCAACTGCAATACAAAACTGCTAAACGTGTGGAAGCTCCTGATCTATATAAACGGGAAACTTTACCCAGGTTCCAAAAGATGACTTGTTTTTGCATCCTTTGAAACGTATTCAGTAAGACTTATAACTCTATTTTCGAACGAACCCACGATCATTTTTGGTTCAAGAAATAATATCATATATAGCTTAATTTCTTATGTCATTTAGCCACATCTCAGCAAAAAGAAGCACTAATTTTAGACCAATGCTTTTGGGAAGGAAAAATGCGTATACATACGCGAAAAACCTTTCTTCGTTTGAAAATGGAGTGTGGAAAGCGACTCCATTGAGCGGGGTAACTTCAAAGAGGCGCAATTCGGGCCCCGAATGGATGGTGGAGATTGAAAGGGCGCAACAGACACTACGAAACAACGAACAGTCGCTTCGACGACGGTAGTCAGTTGTAATGGTAGTACTAGCAGATATCAACGATACGAAGGTGCTGAGAGAAAGTGCGAGCGAAAGATCGAAAGAGAGAAAAAAGAACCGGAGCACAGATAATGGGGACTGGGTACGGCCAGCTTGGATGGCACGAGACGCACAGAGATGCGCAGCGAAAAAGATCCGTTGAAGCAACCGCAGGCTCAACATCGTCTTTGGCGGGCCCGCAAGTCGAACCACGCCGCCAGCACTTCGCTTTACAGCGGGCAAGACTACTAGCGGGCAAAACAGCAGGAGTGGCAAGCTTTGAGCCGGTGGCAACAGTGGCATTGCTAATTGAAATGGCAGCATCAAGGTACTTCCTGTCTAACTGAGCCCCCTACTTCAAGCAAGATAGCATCTTCGTACGCCTAGCTTTCGCGCCGCTTTCACCGTATTCGGACGAATGAGTCAGCTAGCTAGCAACCACCCGCTCTAGCCGCCCCATCGGCAAGGGGGCCTGACTTTTCGACGTCTACAGCTAGATGCTGGGGGTTCCAAGGAGAAAAGACTAAGAGGCGAACGAAGAGCATTCGCAAATTTATCGTTACGCCGAGCCACGCTTTGAGAGAAGAAGAACGAAGGCCATGAGGAGGAAAGATGGAGCTGAAAAAAGGCGCCCGAAGGGCACTGCCCGTCTTAGTGGCGGCGGTAGCGGCATCGACAGTAACGACACGGATGGCAGAGGCTAGCAGCGGCAAACATCTTCGCGTCTATCGCAAGCAAAGCTGCCTAGGGAGTAGATAAAGAAGAACTGCAGAACCGCAGCTAGCACTGCTAACTCCGCTTACAATGCTACGAAACACCAGCAGCTTCTACTAGTATAATAGCTCGCTTGCCGCGTACTATCCCGCTCCTTCTGTGCCCACTCCTTGTCCGTTACGTCTCTTGAACCCTTTGCCTCTGCAAAATCTAGCAGAACAGCGCGAGATAAATACAGAGTGAGGGAAAAGAGTCGGCCCCATTAGCTTGCAGTCGTGCCGCGCACAGGCTATTCTGTGGGGCTGTCGGAGTGTTCTGGACTAGAAAAGAAGCCGTATTGAAAGAGAAACTTTCCTCAGAACACGGAGCTACGCCACCGATCGTTTCCTTACGGCAGCAAGGCTGATCGACAGGACTGCTGCTGACGCTGCTGGAACCGGGATCTTAGAGGGGCTAAAACTTCTGAGCTTTCGACATCCGTTTATTCGCTCGTTGGTGCCGGTTACCGGTTTTCTGGTTCTATTCCTTCGGTCCGTTCCTCAGTTCTCCACAGAGAACGTCCATACATCCCATCCTCTAGAGAAAAGCACGCCAAAATATATGGAGGACGTGCCTGCTCAAGAGACTCATTTGGACTCAGCCGTAGCAGCAGTCAGCTGCATCGATGCTGCTGCTGCTGCTTCTGCCGTTGCCTCCGAAGGCGTAGGACGTTTCTGCCTTCCTGGAAGCTGGTCATCGCACGTCTTCCTCCTTCAGCAGTCTTGAGGTCCGAAAGAAGTGCAACGAGGCGCCACTACTGGGCGGGATTTAGAGAGTGAAGGGGACTCGGACTGCGGCCATAGGGCTTCCAGCGAATGGGTCAGAGCCAATGTTCAGGCGAAGCAGCAATAGTCCAAAGGGACGTCCGACAACGTCTGTCGACGAGCACGGCTCGCAGGCTGACCGAGTGGATGAGGCGGGTAGTGCGAAGGGGCAGGATGGGTGTTAGGCGAATTTCGCGTTTCGTACAAACGTAGCAAACAGCAGGGACAACTGAAGGAGCAGCAGTGCTGGTGAAAAACAGAGCGAACGAACAGTAGTGCAACAGAAGCTAAAGGACAAAAAAAAAAGAAGACTAGGCATAAAAGAAAGGGGAGAACGGAACCGGCGGTAAGACAATATTCAACAAGGCGTCCCATAAGTCCTGTGTATCAACAAAATAATCAGCTTCCTTTGTTGTTATGCGCTCATTCTGCGCTAGGGGCGATGCAAACCCAGCGTCAAGCTAACAAAGTTCCGTTGAAATAACCCGTTCTGTCTCTTGTTAACGGCACCTTTTCTAGCATGGATAGCTGAGTTCGTGTAGGGATCGCGACGGGTGAATGCCCGACGCGAGTGGCCGCAACTCATGCGGTTGGCTCGCATTATGACGATAGACGTATAGGGTAAAGCGGGCTAGGGTAATGCGAGTACAACATACAGCTGCCGCAATATCCTGAACCGTTAGACAAACAGAACGGAAGTAATGCTGGCTCAAGATCAGTGTGCCAGCATGGATTATGGTTAAGTTGTGAAGTGAAAATCAAATTGACGGGGCGTACGCTAAGTAAAATAGACTTGATGAACGTGTGGCCTTTCGGAGGTCACGAAGTGTGAATAAGACCGACAAGGGAAACGCCTGTATAAACTGACTGAAATAAAAGAAGGGGGAAAATTGCTTTAAAGACGTCAGTCGTCCTCGGATCTGCTCAAAACAATGTTAAATGAGTTCCGTTTAGTCAAAACGGTTGTTAACTCATCAAAACGATGGTTGAGCGGCTTGATTCAATTCACCCAACTGATCGGGTGGAAGGGGGTCGTTACTTGCTCAACAGTCAATAGATATTTCTAAAATATATTATCGTTTAAGGGTTTTGACATAATATTTCATAGTGGTAAAATATTTAATCGCCAAATTCCTGATCCCTACAATATCATATGCTGCTCTTTTTTTGTAGTTCCAGATCGCTTGCCGAAATTTTAGTTGCTGCTGAGCTTTACGACAAATAGAAACATACAGCTTACTTTCAATTATATAATGAATCAATGGCCAAAAACAGACGAGTACATAGTCGAGCCTTGAATTATACGTTCATCATCCTTTGCATGATTACTGGTTACATCGGTCCATGCATGCTTACCGTTATCAACTATGCCTACAACGCCAGATGACCCGGTACGTATGAGGAGCGAACACGGGCTGATGTAGGTAAAGATAAGATGACCCCGCTAGAAATCTGAGCTCGTATTATCCTAATATGGCATACAAGATTTGACTAAGCCATTTTCCGTATCAATTACGAACGTGATATGTCAGTCAGGGCTTTAGTCGGAGTTCGTACGTGAAAAACTAGAAAGGCCAAACTGTTTACTTGAAGAGAACCAGTCCAGTTCCTATCGGTAAGGACTATCCTACGATAAAGATATTCATGGATCCATCACAGGTGCTTCAGTAGAAGATTACCCTATTGTCGCACAATTTTTGCCGTTTGGCAACGTTTAAAAAGATAAATCTCTCTATCAATCATACACAGAAGATTCTTAGGCTATGTTTTACTCCTATGGAATTTACCGTTCACCATTTTACGAATGAATGAATGAATGGATTTCATCAATCTTTTCGTCGGTATTGTTGTTGCCTTACTCTGCCACTCCTTCTGTTCCTACAAATTTCTCCTGTTTGACTTAATATGATCGAGAAACCGTTTTTCTCCTTATGCTTTTTCTTGTTTTCTTCCCTTTTCTCAATCTCTCGTACTCTAAGTTGCATCCCATTTTTGGATACTTTGTACTGTTGTTGCTGTTGTTTTCTCGTTATTCTAATAAAGTTCGTACGATTGTGGAGTTTTCTCAATATTCGAACTTTCCTGGAAGAACAGGGCGATAACCCTCCTGAAACTGTAATTCGTTACCGACAACCCGAGCTCTAGAAACCATACGCCCGCGCCGAGGTCTTTGAAGCTGCATCCGCGAGCGCCACCTAGCGCCTTTGTTGAATCGCTGTACTGTCAATTTGGTGAGGGTTTGTCGCATGTTGAAGGGAGGGTTCGAGGGAGTGCGAGAGTGGTCCGTCACCTCTCTCTACCCCAACACGGTCCCTCACCCGAGCACCCGCAAAATGCTCGTACATTTGGACGTCGGCGGCCACGCATCCTCGCTGCCAGGTGAGCTTCCTGCTCCGTGATGTTGTGATTGATAAAAATACAGCAAACAGCTGCCGTGCATTATTTGAGCATGAGGAGTACGTATAACAGCTACACATCTTGCGTCCGTCTTAACCACTGTGCACCAGCGAGAAGCGTTTATTGTGTTGTCTTTATCGTTATACCTTTGTATCAAGAATTAGTCTTATTTGTAAAGTGAGGAAAGGGAGGAACGTCATAGCAGCTATAGGATAATTTATGCAATTGTGCGCGTGTGGAAGAATCTCTTTGGAGACCTGCCATATGCCTGCTAGTACGTAATAACAACATAATCGCGTCTCTCTGTATGTAATCGCTTTTCGTCAGGTACCTTACTTATAGTGTAGCTTTTTTCTGAAGTAAACAGAGAGGTTGGCAAAGGACTGCCTGAGCGCACATCGGTGAGTGTTACCAGTGCCCTGCGCCATTGGGTTTGCCTTTACTATAGCCCGCGGGCTTCCGCGGTCTCTTCTGTGACCAATGGTCCGTGCCCTTGTCCCGCGATTGCTATCAAGATGACGTCGATATTGACGAAATTCCGGCGCGTCCTCTTAGCAGTTGTTTAGAGCCCAGTAGAACGAGTCGACGCGGTCACTACCCCGCGCCTGGCTAACAACGTCAACACGTAACGCGGCGGGCCTCAAAAGCCGTCTACCATCAGTGTTTGCGCGAATTCTTCTACTGCTAAGCGCAACTACGGGTAAAGCCGTCAAAGAAAGGGTAACGGGCAACGCCTTAATCGACGGTACCGTGGGCAAACGACGTTCAGCCGCGGTAGTCGCCGATGTTCCTTGGCCGCCAATTCAGATAGCAGAGAACAGATATCCTTCGATCAACAGCGACGAGGTGCTTCAAACCAGCAGGGGCGGTTTTCATCAATAGACGCGTGTTGCTTAGTAAATAATCGCAGCGCACATCCGGCGTAATTCAATACGCTTAGTTGCCTTCGAAAGCCAATATCCTTCTTACTTTCTGTACATATTGTGTGAATTATAAACAACAAATAGAAGCTCGAAACAACATAATACGTTGCACACTATGCATGCAGGCATAGATAAGAATATTTAATATTCCGCTTTATTGTTTCTCAGCCAAAACAAAGCAAAGAAAAAGTTTCGTGGAATTAAACAACATAGTTACAGTGACGTACAAATCTAGTTACTGCTAGTTAGGGGTGAAAAAAGAATAGTAACAGCACCAGGATCACAGCCAAATAGAAAAACCCGAATGCGAGGATAATATTCTAGCTGGCCCGTCGGCCTATAGTTGTGCTCAATTCAGAAGCTGCCAAGGATTCCCACCATACGCGTCTGTTCTTCAATTGTATTTGATCGTATATTGAATATTGTGCAGTGAATCATCAGCAATCGTAGTGAATCAATCGTACGCCGCCGTGGATACGTCTTTTTTTGTTTTGATTATATGTTTGTCCGTCGATTTGCTCCAACCTTCATCCGTTCATCGGCCAGTAGAAGCTCAATGCCTCACCTACTTCCACGTGGTGGTGTGAAAATCGTGTCCTTAAATCGTGTTGGTGCTTGATCATCGGGGATTGACCGCTTATATGATGAGTAATCGGTAATTGCTTGGGTGCTTGATGAATAAGTGATTCGCGATGCTATTGATTGAGGCGTGATGTGTTGTGACTACCAGTTACTAGTTATTAACATAGAAAAAACGACTATGGGCTTTAATAGTGGACTACCGGAGATTCTTCTGAATCCAGATCTTCTGCAACAGCAATTGTTACTATCAGTTCTCCAAGTAGTTCTGGACGTTCAGCCAAAAGGGTCAGAGCGTCTTTCCGTAAAATAATAGACGTATACAATGCCCTACTGTTCAGCGTTGTCAACTGAGCGTGGCCATTATGGAGGTGTCGTGACTAGACGTCCTCGGCCATCACCACCACAGCTCGGCCAACAGTATCATCATCATCATCATCATCATCACCACCATTGTTATCATCATGAAACAAAACAGTACTCTTACGACAACTACAAGCAATACTTCTGCCGCCATCATCATAACACTAACCAAATGTCGGATACTAGGATAACTCGTTCTACGACAATTAGTACTGCTACTTCTACAACGGCGGCAGCAACGGTTATGAGTGGACGTCATCGGCTGGACGATCGGCGCGCACAACTGCTACCACGTATTGTTCTGTGCTCACTGTCTATACGGGTCCTCAGTACGTTAATGCTTCAAGTGTTTCTAATGACCACGTTTCTACACGCAGGAAGGGCCTCAGTCCACGAGGGACTACACATCGAACCCGGTAAGTTTTCACGCTATTGTATATTCAACACGGTGTATTTCAAGTCCACGTCGAATAAGTCGAAGTCGTTGTTGTATATACAGCATACAAAAATTTACACAGAAACTATTTAAGTTGCGCTTGCATTCAATTTTGTTGAGCTCTTTCAGGTTGTACAACAACAGGTTTTAACAATAAGCATTTAAGCATGTGTCTATGCGATAACTCAAATAATTAACAGATCACTACGTCTCGATTGGGAATCAAACCATGTTACGTTATTTCCGTACACTAAACAAGTTAAGCAGAAAATTCCTATAAATGATAATGGTAAAAAATCGCCACTTCAATGGAGCGTATTGAATCTTTACCATACCTGCGACAAGGATAAGAACATGCACCTCATGATACTCATTTGTTCGAAACGCGATCGCTTTCTTTTATTGGCTACTACATCCTCAACTGTTTCAACAGGATTCTAGGAGAAAGCAGGTTAATCGCTGATGCAACTTTTCCCCTTGCTCCCTCCGAGATATCCCTTTCCCCGACCCACCCCACCTCTGCACAGAAGTAGGCAAAGCGAAAAGAAAAATTCGCTCATAGAGCACCAGTAATCATATATACTGATCATATTCAGATTTGACACCATTGAAAAAAGCATGTGTCATTGTCTTGTATTTTTATTTGTTAGGCATAATGTATGCGTATGTTTCCTGTCGGCTGTTTAGCTCAATCATTATTAGTCAATCGAACATGTTGACTATTCTACATTATTTGGAACACATAGTAAACGCAGCTTCAAAAGATAAACAACTTGGTCCAAAGCCGATCCGTCTTTTCTGATACAAAAGAGCTTTCAGCTTTGGAGCTCGGACCTCAGCTGTGCGATAAATATGTACAATATGATGAAACGATGGAGCTGTCATAGCCAACGCACGGCGAAGTCGATGGTGGTATCAGAGCAGTTCGTACAGAACGAAGCACTAGAGGAAGTCCTCCATCCGTTTATAGAGGCATCTCCTTATTTCCATAAAGGCAAAATAGATTTTCTACTAAAAAGAGACTGCATTACTATTTCTATCAGATTTTTTGAAGTACTAACGATATTAGAAAGCTGACCTTACATATCTATTTCTACAGTCTGGATTATTTAATTTACAACTTATTACTGGATAATAGCGGCAAAATGGTCCTTCATTTAGCTGCATTTACATCTAGCATATTTTAATACTTACAGAAAAAATTTCATTCCACTATCAGGTAAATGATCTTGTTTCAATTTGGTACAGAGTTAATGAGGAAAACCTTGCTACGGTTCCTAGATGTTTTCTCAGTGACAAATATAAGCTATCACAAAGGCTGTCATTCTTGCCGGATATATCTATCACTCGATAAGCAAGACACTTACGGTAAATTAATATTTTTTTCTGAAAATAATTTATTTCAATATAATAATAATAACAACCACCAGGTTCCTGGAAAGTTCTTTTAGAGTAGCATCTCGCCTTCGCCCAATGAACGCTTGTCGAGCCACAGGAATAGATACTCAGACCATCCTCCTTAGCCCCTATATTCGCCCGTTCCCGTCATCATTATCAGTCCTAGTGTAAACCTGGTTTCGTTTCTTTTATCGTTGTGCGTCCTAGGATTATGCGGACACGGTACGAAGCTTCAGAGTTGTATATATACGTTTGTATTTTCGCCACGTTTTTGCTTAACTCAATGGCTGGTAACGCGTGAAGGGCGATGATCGTTTAATACAAGCCGTTTCCAGAGTCACAAGGAGACGGAATCTGGCTGAGACTGTGTCAATTAAACAATCGCCGAAACAAGGGAAACCGTCTGCGCTAACAAAAATAACTGCGCAGATGGGGCAAACCACCAACCGTGGCAGACAAAACAGCATGACACATGTAAGCTTAGTAGTAGTAGTACACGGTGTCCAGTTGTTCAACTCTCATACTATAGCACAATAGACGCCTTATGATATCGCGCGATGGGACTACTCTGAGCATTCACTGCTCCCTTTGTGCAGTTTACCGGCGGCCACATATCGCTTGAAAGTTTGAGCTCTGATGGATTCTCACTTTAGGCGTTTGCGGAACTGTATTACATTCGTCATTGTTGTTTCCGGTGCTTCCGAGCTCAGTACGTGGGCTTGGTCACTGGTATCTATCTCAACGCTCGGTTAGAGCGATGATCGAAGCCGCACTGATTACACCTTGTAGAGGGAAAACGTGCAGCATTCCAAGCTGACGATGGCCATATGTGCTTTAATCACTACGTTCTAGGCATACAACTACGACCAGTTGTGTGACTGAACCCGTTACGGTAGCTGTTCTAAATTATCGGACCAATTAATTTGCTGTTATTTGCTATTTAAAGGGGACAAAACCTCCTTTGGGGAGGCTGCACAGCTTCTGCGATGAAACGAGCCTCGTATCACTATATGCGTCAACTAGTTCTATCGCTAGTAAGTGTCGAATCCTTTCTAAAAGATCCTGTACGGGTTTTCTTTCTGCCTAACCCTTATTATTCATTGAGCTAAACATGCTCCTTTAAAAACGTGAGCCTTTAACAAAGCTGTTCGTATATCGCGAAAAGAACAGGAACGAGGTTGATAACCAGCTAAATCGTTGAAGGCCGTGCTTCATCATAACTCCTCTTAGCTGCTATTATAACAGAAGAAGATGCCACGAGCCGATAGTGGTGATGGTAGTGTTTCAATAGTGACGGCTCTATTCCTAGCGTATGCTTGTTATTGCCTTTATACTTAGGAATAAAGTCATGAAGATAACAGGCTGCCAGTTTTTGTCAACGTCACCGCGCTGTCTTCGAAGCTTGGATACCTGCTCAGAGTGAATGGTTAATTGAGGGGTCTCTGCAAGGATGCTGGATCACATACTTTTAATTCACGTGCAATATATAAACGTTCGTTATACTTACACTCGATGTGCAACGCATGTTTATGGAAGAGCATCAAATGCAAAGAAAAATTAAAAACGGAAATAGAAATACGAAGTCTAAAGCTAAACAAAGAAATTATCTGAATTGGGATATATCATAGGTAACGAAATTCGAGGACTTACTTTAAGTTTTTAGGATTGGATTACGTACATTTAGTAGGATCTCGTTTATCTTACTGACAGCTAGGGTAACTAAACTACTATACGGCTAGGGTTTGTGGGAGAAACAAATTGCCTCGTACTTTAATTTTACTTATATTGCAAGAACATTTAATCAGCCCACAATGTAAGGCTTTCCTCTACCATGAACGAAGTTCAATGGGTTGTCCTTCAAGCCTTCTTATCAAACCTTAATCAGCTGGTCCTTATTCCCTACGCTGTGTTTTGCATTGTATTTCTACGCACTTTGTCTTCTCACTCAACATAGGTCCTGCGTCTGGCGGGCACAAAATTAGCTGGACGGGCTTGTATCCGTCGAGTCTACATATTTATTGAAAATATACCTATGTCTCTTCTGGGGGCGACGACTAAGCAGTTCTTGCGTTCTCTTTCAATACTCGATAATTTTTTCTTCAATTAGATAACACTTACATCGTTTTCATATTCAACAGTACTGCCAAACGAATGTTTCCGACCATCCGGCTAATTCGCTTATTCTTGTTGTGTATTTTTTCTTGCAAACTGGTTTCAATGTGACCTAGCTGTGACTCCAGCAACAGAACGTGGCTTCGCTCTGTGCTTAACGCCCTGTGTTCATAAGCTTCATTGCGGCCGCGCTACTAGTTTCAATATGCCCTTCGCAACATCACCGGTAAGCCCGAGGAGCTGTGTATGTATCTGCGTTTAGGCTGTTGGATGCAGCCAAGGTTAAACATGACCTTCCAAGCGGCCTGGTAGATACCAGATACGCGCTTGTTCTAGTCCTCTGTCTCGACTTTGAGCTAACTTGGCGCATGTTTTCATTTCTTTGTGCGTTGTTCCAGTTGGCTTGTGTGTCCCTATGTGTATGTATGTTAAGCCTTGGGCAATTCGATCATAATTACGACAAAGCGTGCCTGTACTCGCCGTCACCTTAGGGTTACAACCACTTTCGTCGATGTCAAATAAGCAGCCTGCTTGCCAGACCTCGCAGCTCAATAGAGTGGTTCGCTTCGATTGCTTCCTGCCATTTTCTATCCGTTCGCCTTTTCCCGCTACGTTGCAGACGCTGCCAGCATTATCGCTCCTGCCGCGTGTGGTCGACCCGGCCAAATCTTCCCTTTTTGTTGCAGCTATTGTATGTATATGTGTGGATTTCCTCAAATTGAAACAGTGTAGCCGTGTGCCTGAATGTTTCTTTCCATGGTTCTAGTAAGTTCTAGTTTTTCTTCGAAGTTGTGGCTGTTAGCTCGCTGCCTCAAATGGCCGTATAGACGTGTCGTTTTCGATAACTGCGGCTTCATTTTCAGCCGACGCACGGTCTGAGGTTAGCGACTAGGCTGCGTCTGGCTTTCTCTCAGCTACTGCTGACTCTGCTGTCTGTACATCTATCAGAAGCCGTCACCAGGTTTTTGATAAACCCCAGCCCCGTGTCCATCTCTTTTCCTCTTTGGCAGCAGGAGAAAATGGACAAAAAGCATATCTGCCTCTCTCCGGCCTGGCCGAGGACAGGTAGGCCTACCTGTACGATCCATGTTGCTCATCGAACAGGCCACCGAATGTCATGCCATCGTATCTTACCCTGCTATCTTCTTTGTTTTGCCACTACTGCTGCTCCCGCTTACGGTCGCTTCGTTTATCCACTCCGCCTTGAAACTGCCCGTATTGGTCGAGCTTCGGTTTTCGCGGTCCTCGCCGCACTCCGGTCGTCTGCTGCTGCTTCAGCTTAATAGCGGCTAATGCCGCTTCTGAGGCTCCTCTTACCTGATTTTCTTTATTCGACAGACTGAACTGCGTCGAATGCGTCTAAGCCGCGGCTTTTAGAATTCGTTCCTTTCTCGTCACCTTTAGTAGCGTTTAAGCTAAAGCAAGCCGATCAAACAGTGGCTGCGTCGAAATGATAGGACACCATCGAGT